AGCTTTCCGAGGATATTAATCCCAGCCAAAACACGTTCTGAACTGGAGTGTCATACGGCAGCACCATGCACCGAGGAGCACAGAGCCCTTATTTCTAAGGATAAACATTAAACTAGAAACATATTTTGAACTGTCATCAGCTGCTAGATCAAAGACTCTGCCAACACTTCAAGGCTTATTTTGCAGTCTTCTAAAAACCTCATTTTAACGTTGCCGGAGATAATGAGCTGCAACGGCACTGCTAAGGCAGAGACGTGTCATAACTCATCCTGCACGCAGACAATCCTGCCAGTGACTCCCTTAGAGACACCCTTCTGCTGCTCTGGAATGAATCCTAAAGCAAAGCTGCTCAGGAAGGATGGGTTTTCTTCATCACAGGACAACACAGTTTAGGAAAAGGACCTGTTCCAGCTGCAATAAGTGAACAGACTCAGGGACGTTTTAAGCACTGTGGCGTAGGCGGGCGGATCACAACAGTCACAACAGAGAAAGTATTCCTTGCTCTCTCTTCGAACAAAGCATCAAAAGGAAAACCAAAACCAGCAGGAACAGAACAACAACAACAGAACATCACTTCTGGATCAGATGGGAAGCTGCTGCCACCTGCGGATAAAAGGAAGCAGAGACACCTTGAACTACAAAAGCTGGATCCCTTCGGGCACCCACTGCAGGCTTAAATGCCTTCCTTCAGCGGGAGGTTGAGTCAAACGGCTTAAACACTTTGTTTCAAGGAGTTTTAAAGGTCTTTTTAACCTTTTCCTCCCTCTCACAGCAATAGCCTGCACTGTTTGTTCCTAAACAAGGATGGTTGTGTTCCAGTTATCTGCAAAAAATTGCACAAGAGGAAACATTCAGCAACCATGACTGTGAAACAACCAGTGGCTGCTAAAAACTTGAAACCTTTGTCCTAACAATTACTGCAAGAGCACTGATGTTTTGGCCATCTTCAGACCCCCAAAAGCTGTGGGTTGATGGACTAAAGAGGCACCTGAACAGGATGGCAGTGTTCATGGTAAACTCCTAAGCACTTGGGAGTCAGAAATTTCTCAGTGAATGCATTCTGCATTTCACATATAGTTCTGCTGCCATTATCAAGAAATGACAGAAATTACCACTTAAAGAGATTCACTTCAACATTTTGAAGCATTTTTTATATTTTTAAAATGCTGGAGATGTCACATCTACTTTATCTTTGTGGAAGAAAACTGTTATTACTGAGAGTACAAATGTGCTACATAACAAATAAGTTAATTAGACACATCTCCAGTTGCTTAAATCTACTGAAAAGAAGGATTCTCTCAAAACTAGCAAAAGAAATAAAGAGCTTTATGCTTTCTCCTATGGTCCTGTAAGTAGAGTGGTTCAAGCTTGTAACACAACTCTTTTTTTACCATAATGTGACGTTATATGATGCAATGGCTTTATGTGGCATGTTATCAGAACTATACAATAACAAAGTGTCCAGTGTTGTTGAGTCATTTAAAGTAAATTCTTCCCACACAGACTGCCCCCTCCTTTCTGCACTTACAGGCACCTGATTTTGGCATAAATGTCATTACTGGAATACACCCTGATTTCTGTAATGGATTTCTATGCATAAAATTGCACCAGAGGATTTTACCACTGTCTGTGACACAGAAAGCACATGCTGAACTTGTGAAGTACAAAAAATCCACTCCAGCTCTGGGCAGCAGCACTACCCCACATCTGTGCTCTCCTTCCAGTTGTAAACTACCCCTTCTCAGGAATTTTGCTCACATCTCCTCCCTCTTTGCTTCCTCCTTCTGTTCCATTAGTGGCTTCTTGCTGCATTCACCAATAAAAGGCACATGGTTAATTAACTGGGAAAAAAAAAACCAACAAAAAACTTGCACCCACAAGCCATTCTTTGGGGTTTTTTTTTGGCTGCCCTTCACATAGCAAAATGTTAGATGCCATTTTAGTCACAGCCAGGTGGTTTTTAGTCTCATGTACCACTATCCCTGAAGACAACTGCTGGATTCCTGATGCCACATTCCAGTGTATCCATCATAAACCAGAGGATATTATCCCTGGACTCGCTGCTTTCCTTAGCCTTGTGATAATATAAACATTCTCCTGACATCTGGGTACACCTAATATTTCATTAGCACCTTAAAAGACTGTCACACCTGAAGACTGCTTATACACAGAGCTGCTTCAGACGAGTTCAAACCAACTGCCATGGAAACCTACCTAAACCAACACTTACCTTCATCCACAGCAAAGTGACAGCTCTTGTCGTTGTAGAAAAGAATTTTCTTCTTATCAGGGCGATTAACAAAGATGATCTGGTCCCCTAAAGCCTCGAAAACAAATGCAAAAGAGCAACTCAAAATCACTTCATTTCCAAGCATAAGTTCTCCTACTCTGATCAACAGATGCAAATCTTGTGCTACAAAAGGCACAACAAAGTAGGTAAGATGGAGAATAACTGGCTGGGAAGTGAGTTGGAATGGGTTGGCTGAACTGCACGTGCTCCTCACCTTTATAGCTTTCTGTGCATTGGGCAGCCCTTCCTCGATGTCTTCCAAAAGGATTCCTCCCAGCCCTCGCTGGTCATGCTTGTCCAAGAGCCTGAGCAGAGCCTTTTTGTCCTTCAAGTTGTACTTAGGTTTGAAAGCATACTTCCCATCCACAACTTCTATTTTAGGATTGTTGACTAGAGCCTGTAACAGAGACAGAAACAAAGGAATGTTACAGTCTGTATTAATTAGAACTATCCTAGTTTTACTGTGCAGAGAGGTACAAGTTCCACATTAATGTCAATCTAAATTGTTTCTTAAGGAGGGAACACCTATCCAAAGAGTTTGAAATTAAATAAATGTGCATAATTCTGGTTTATCATAATCCTTTATCTTTAATTCAAATCTAAACATATGTATTCTTTACCTCGCTCATTAACCATTGTTTCTGTTTGAGTCCAATATCTAAGTGCTGTGTTTCATCCAAAATCTCTTCAAGGGTTAATGGATGTGTATCACCCCGCTGGTGCCGAGTCTGGAAGAGCAAACAGGATCTATTAGAGCTCTGTAATCACTTTATTCAGCAACTCAATTATCATAAAGTAACTAACACTGGCACCAAACTACATGTTCATCTTGATCAATAGGTCATGAATTCTAAAAGCTGACAGCAGCCTGCAATTCCTGCAAACAAAACCCATTACCCTGGTTGTAAAGTGACCTGGGACAGTTAGGATTTCAATAATGGAAAAATGTGCTGACAATTTTGTTTACTGACAGCACTTCAAATTTAACAAGCAGTTTCTTGAAATTCTCACTCTTGCAGTAAAAGAATTTTGGAGTTTTAAATATTCAGCATCTGCCAGCTACCACGGGAGACTAAATAACCACAGTATTTAAAAACATGGTGGTTTTACACCGAAACACCATACCTTCATATAATTCACTATTTTAGCAAGGACTCCAAACTTGTAGCCAGAGCCTCCTGAAAGGGCTTTCAAGTTAAATGATCCATTGCTGTGATCTACAAAGGGAGAAAAGAAACAATTTAATGATGCTTCAACACCACCCTGTTGGCTCTGAGCTCTGTCTCCTTCTCACTCTACTTTCTGAAGGTTTCAGAATGACAGAAAGGTGCGTGGCAGGAGGAGACACCCTCAGGACTCTGTCTGAGCACACGTGTTGATCCAGCCCTGCAGAGTCGGCTCTGGAACATTTCTGAGCACAGCTCCACAAATAAAAAGTTCCTGGGACTTGACCTTTAAGAAAGCAGCAAGTGACTACAGTGTTATGACCATAAGAGAACATGTTTAATTTGGTAGCTTAACATCCCATAATCATTTACACTACATTAATCCAGGCTGAAATAATGCACTGCATTGGCTTTACTGAGATTGCTGAGATGGGGGCAGAAAGTTTCTCTTCTTCTCAAAAGGTATTCAGTGGTTACACAGCAGGTAAAGGAAGGCTGTGATTTTTTTTTTTTTTAATTTGTTTATTGTTTAAAGTAGCTCCAGTGGAGAAATTTATTAAACAGACCCCTATAAATTCAAAACAATTCAACCTGGTCTGTTGCACCACTGGAACAACAATTCAGAATCCCCTCTGTTGTCAAATCCTTATCATGTTCTTTCAAAAATTCTTGCAAGGATGTTAATGACCATTTCATTAACTTCAGCTCTTAGCACAGCACATTAAACACAAATATCCACAAACCACTATCACAAGCCACAGGCCCATTACCAGCACAGGGTTGCTCAAACCTAATGGCAACGGCTTTTTGGAATTTCAGCTACTCCAGGCAAAGAACATCTTCTCTATGTCACCACGGGGATTTTTTAATCCACTGGTAATTTCTAAGCACATTTGACAGGACAACAGGTATCTCAAAGATACTGAGCTCCTACTATTTCTGTGGAAATATCAGTGGAGGGTGAGAAAAAACCAGAATCCTGTAGCTGACATTGTGTTAAGAGGCTTCACATAGCACAACAATTCTAAAATTAGTGTAGAAGAACCAGTGTAACTCCAACTGCTGAAGAACATTTCATTCTGGTTACTAAATTAAGACTAAAAAAAAGGGAGAAAAACAAAAGCCAGCTCCCTCTGCAAATACATGCCCCGTAGGGATTTTCCCCCGCAGGGTTCCCTTTTAACATTAAAAATTAATGTCTATGGAAGGTATTTTATAAATAAATAAAAAAATCCTATGTCTAACTTCAGACAATGAAGTGATTAAAATAAATTCAGAGGTACAACAAACAGTTAAGACAACTCATCGTGTCTTTATTCTGTCAATTAAATCGGGAAGATTATCTTGTTTAATCTGCCTGGCTACAGCCTGCTACAGTTCATGACAGGGGAATCTAAGCACACGGGGAGGCTGGAAATCTGCAGATATTAACACTTCAAACGTCACGGTCTGATGGCTGATTCCAGCACAAAGCAAAGCAGGGTCGTGGCCACCGCTGCACTCCCAGCGCGCTCCGCTGCTAACGAGCTCATCACATCCCAAAAAACGAGGGAAGGGAGGGTTCTGTTTCTTATTCCAGACTGTAAGAGTCATATTTATGAATGATTTACTCCTGAGGTTGAGGGCTCGATGCAAATGAGCACAAAGGAAGTTGTCAGCAGCATCGTGCTCTGGCCAATGGTAGGGAAGCTCCATCTTAGCTGTGCCATAGGCTGCACTAAAAAAAGGGACCAGAACGGCGCTCTCTCAGCATCCTTTCCCACAAGAGGTAGGTGTGTACCATTTTATAACATTCTCTTAGGTTTATCTTGATTACTGAAAGAAAATAAGCCTGTAAGCTACGAACCTGTGAAAGCTGCTTGGAACGGGGATGATTTTTCTCTGGGTTGAGCGGGGTTTATCCCGCTGAACGCGGAGGAGCTTGTCTTGCACGATCAGACAAGCACTTTCACCATCTGTGCACTAATGGAAAATTGATGACCGCTCCATCTTACAGCAAAGCTAACACCAGCAGCCAAGATTCAGTAAACAAAATGGATTTCATCCTTGCAGGGGAGGTGGCTTGTTTCCTGCAGCCTCACGCTGCCTGTGGTTGATTCTATACGTTTTTAGAGGAACGCCAGTGAAAGGCTTTTCCTTAAAACAAAGACAGCTCAACCTGAAATGTGAGAAATGTTACCTCCCAGGGGGTATTCTGTAAATTAGGCTGCCTAAAAGAGGTCTGTGTGCGTGGATGTGTGAGAAACCTGTTCTGGAAATGTGTTATACTGGGGTAGGGAGAAAATCCCGTTGCATATTATTATCTTTGGAATATCAGAGCAGCCACAAGGCAAATGGGTAGGTTAGAATCCATCTGAGGTTTGTAAATGCTTTTACCTCAAGATGTCTATTCAGTGGTTGTTTAAACAGGACTTCCCCAGTACTGCATTAAAAGGATTTTTTGCCAGTCATTTCCCTCTGGTCCGTGAATACGGTTTCAAATAAAGCTGCTCCTCTGCAGTGCCTAAAGATGGTAATGCTTTTAAATTAAAACCTAGTACAGATATTAGAGGAGTCAGTTGATTAAATATTTAACTCCCTGCATTTTGGATACATACAACAGCTGACTTGATTTCAAATCAGACTGGCTAATGATGTGAATTTGAATTGTGCTGTTACAAAATAAGTAAAACTGCAGGAAAACAGCCCATTTTTGACAGCTTTCAAGGACATTAACCTTAGCTGTGGTAATTCTGAACACCCAGCAACAGTTACTTCAGTCTTGTATTTTAATAATTACAGCTATGAGTAGCTAATCTTTATCTGCCTTGCTTTGTTCAAATCTAAGGAAATCCTCCTCCTCCTCCTCTAGGAGCTCAGACCCCCTCCAGCAAGGCATTAAATTCCACCCCCTGGAATAAAGATGAGTGTGCCCTATTGGTGGCTGTGGAGTGGGAAGGGGGTGCCTGGCCAGCCATGCCATGCCCAAGATGGAAAAAACCCCCTAAAAATACTCAATTTTGCATCACAGGAGCAGTCCATTTCTGTGCCTGTGCATTTACAGAGCGAGCAAATTTACGTGTAACAGATTCCAGCAAAACCCTCAGTCTTAGAAATCTGTTTACAAAGTTCCAAACAAAACTGCTTGCTTTCCCAAGGATATCCTCTTGCCATTTAAAATACACAATTAAATCCTGCTTATTTTAATTACTCCTCAAAGGGGACTCCAAATCCTTTTATTCAGCCTGCCCTCTCTCTCACAGATTTTCAAATAACTCTTCAGGCCACCCCTTTAAAAACCCTCCTGACTTTTAGCCCCGAACAATTCGACTGAGTTTCCTTCCCAGATTGTGACCAAATCAAGCCAGGACCTGACTCAATCCAGGAGTATTTTTAGCTTGGATTTGCTCTGTAAACTTTTGCTTAAGAAAAAAACCCCAACAAACAGTTTCATTAATCCTGCCCATCTCAGCCCTACTTTGTATACTCAATTACTAATTTGTGTATTCAGTTACAGATTTAACAGAGGAAACAGCAACTGTTCCAGTAAATGTCTGTATGGAATGCTAATGCCAGGTACCTTCCCAACCACAAAGGTGTTCTGTTTCAATTTAACTCCATTAAAGACAGAAGGATAAAAACAAAATGTACAATATTTGAATGATAAAAGTAAGACATAGATAGCAAGCTGGTTTGGCTGCATCATCCTGCTTTTCACTATATCCTTTTTTTTTAGTAATTTCACAGAAATGGGACAGGTGCTTAGACTGCTTTAAGTCAGCTGCTTTAGCAGACACTGGCATCACCATGCTCCACCTAAAAACTCCCTGCTATTTCCTCAAGGAAATATGGAGATCTGACTCCATCTCCTTCTCCCACACCCAGTTTTAAATTGCCAGAGGGATTCAAAGGTTATTATGACATCCTACAGCACGCCATGACAGGGAACCAGGAGCTACTGTGGCTCCTTGGACAATTTTTACTACGTAAGACTATAAACCAATGGCAGATTTATAAACCAAAGCAAACTTTTGCTTCATCTCTCCCCATACCCCAAAGCAGCCTCTTCTGCTGGGTGCAAACACACAGCACTGGGGCCAGGGAGACATTCCTTCCCCAGTAGTTAGGCAGAGCTGAAAATAAGAAATCACAACTCCTCAGAAAGGGTTGGGTTTTCCTTGGCATAAATCCCAATGAGCCTGGCACCACAAACAGGAATTCCAGTGGCTGAAACCGCTGTACACCTTGAAAATTATCTTTGTAACCTTTCTGTCTGTGCACAGAACTGAAATGAAGGAGCCAAGCTCCCTCCTTCCTGAATAACTTACACCATGTGATGCCTGCACAGACCAGACACCGCCGAAATAAACGTTCCAGACCAACCACAGAGCTGTGCATTTGGAGTGTGATACTTTTGTGAGCAAATATGAGTATGCAACCAGCCATGGCTGTAGGAGGTGTGAGCACTTAGTCTGAGCTGAAGTTTCTTACAGTTTTCGATAAAAATCACAGCATGTCCTTGACTTTTAGTCCTCAACAGCTTTGGTTTTGTGTTTCAGCCCCCAAATCTGTGACAGTGAGCACACTAAGACACCCCCTCAAGAATGGCAACCCTCAACAGCACTCACTGGAACGAGACTACATCCATTTCCCAGTATCTGGGCTTCCAAGTGCAAAAAATCTACCCTTTCCATGACAACTGGAACACTGCCTGCTTTGTTATCCTGATCATATTCATTTTCACTGTAGTTTCTCTGGTGGTGCTGGCTTTCCTCTATGAACTGCTGGACTGTTGCTGCTGCGTGAAAAACAAGACTGTGAAAGACTTGGAGAATGAACCCAATCCTGTCAGGGCCATGATGAACAGCTTCAGGAAGCGGGAAACAGAGGTGGTGTAGGGAGGACTGAGCACCAGCACTTGGAGAACATCTGACACCTTGAATGAAGCCTCTTGTACCTTACAAATGAGCAAGTCATGTGCTTTTTTGTTTTGGTCTTAAATATAACAGGTTGTAATTTTATCTCTGGATGTGAACTGGAACAATTGGCAAAGGCTTTCCAAGTGTTTAGCAGAAGGACAATCTGTTGCAGTGTTACGGGGGAAGAAAAGATTTTCGGTTTTAAATGAACTTTTGCTGTTTATATTGAGTGACTAGCATAGAATTTTGTCTACCTGACTGAACAAATGTTGCCTAATATGCATAAAACCATGTTGCTTAACTGGAGAAAACGTTTCTAAAAATGCTCAACAAATCTGATCACACACAGTGCAAAGACACAGCAGTGCCGTCCCACCGAGTCAGCTGCACAGACACAGGACAGACAGACAAGGGGTGAGAAAAGACATGGGAGAGAAGGGTGTGGATGGCAAAAGACCCCTCAGACAGGACAGGACTGGGTGAATTCTTGCCTTTGGCAGCACTTTCTATTATGGTTTCTCGCTTTTAGAAGAGACAGTGGTGGGAGGAAAATTAAGGCAATGCGAAATGTATCCCTAAAATGGTCTTTTCTAACCTCCTGTGATAGTTTGACTCTTTCTCTTTCCTCTCCTCCAGTTCCAGAGAACTGCTCTCCCTTTATTTCATATTCAGCCTGGTCAACAATTTCTGGGTGTTGAGACCTGAGTGACCCACTTCCTTCAGAATACCTGCCCTTTCCACAAAATCCTACTGTAGTGGTACCACTGCCCAGGAGACACAGGGACGCTCCCCTGCCCCAAGGCTGCTGCCTCTGTGGCAACCACAGCACTACAGGGGTTCTGGCAGCAAATAACAGTCCTGTCACAAGGGAAACAAACCCACCTAAGTGGCAAAAAAAAAAAGTGACCTCACAGTCCTTCCATATCCGAAATACCTTTGTGCTATGGCCAGTCCCTATAATTACCTCTTTTTTTTGTTAATGTATCAACTCCCTCTCTCAGGGTGAGTATGCCTAAGCTCCAGAAGATCTGGACACAATGGAAGACTTGCTAATTGACTTGTGCTGCTCCTGGTTGGCGAGACGGAGTCACCAGACACCCAGGGCACTGCGAACCAGCACAGCGAGTCCAGTGATTCACCTGGCGAAGCAAACTCCCTTCTGCAGCCACCAAACAACACCGTGACCGCTGTGACCATTCATCTCAGATCTGCTTCTCACAGTGAAGCTTTGCCAGAACCAGCCCCACGTGCAGAGAATGTTCTGTGCTAAAAATCAAACTATAAGCACAATTAATGGAAGCTGACGCCCCAAGTACAAGATAATTCAGGATTCCCACCCAGACTCATGATGAAGAAGTCAGTGGAGGTAATGATGACTTTCTGCTGCATGTGGCAGCACCAGCCTGGAATAACCAGCTCAAGAGAGGCCAGAGTAGCCATTGGGATACACTGAATTAACTAGTGTTTCTCCTTCCTAAAAGAAAACACTGTGGACACTTGCAGCATTCCCACAAGATGCCCCACAAGGGCTGCACACACGAAGGCAGCGTGCAGGAAGCACCACGGTCGGCCTCTGCTGCGTTGGCACCGCCTTCCAGAGAAGCACACGGAATGACAAACCTTGGGACCCATTCAGCTATTTATTCCCCAGGTCTACAAAGGTGAATGGGTGTCTCCACAAGGAACAGAGGACAAAGGTCTCCCCTTGCACAGCCCTAGAGACTCAGGAGGATTCTTTCCCATGAAACAGCCCCCGGAGATTTTGGCTCTAGACTTTTGTTGGCAAAGACCACCGAGACAAAGGTCTTAAGATATAAGACCACAGCCATGGCTTACTATTCATTAATAAAATGAAACAAACAGCTTTGATCTATTTTGTTTATTTTGCAGTTCCTGTGATAGTAATCACTCTATAGTAATCACTGTAGTAACAGTGGGAAGCTTAGAGCCAGTCTTCACACACAGGCCAGAATTAGCTAGGCAGTCATTTGAAGGTTAGCACGATCTCCATACCTCTCCTCCCCCAAAAAAGTGACAAGGGCAGGCTCTCTGAGTCACAGAATGACAGAGCGAGGATTCTGTGGGCGTTGCACATCAGTGCCAACAGGCAATCACAAACTTATCATCTTTGTGGTCACTACACAACAAAATTAGGACTGATCATCTTAAGTTTTGTTTCTTTGGGGAGGTGGGACAGGGATTCTTCGATATCAGGTTTTTACTCCACCTCCCCAGACCTACCCCTGACACCTTCATATCCCGACAGGCACCTGCCAGTCTGACAATTCAAATATAAAGCGGGTCTTGAAGCAAAGGACTTTGACTCTGCAGCATAAAAATCTAATAGAAACCTTGAAACCTTTCTGATAACTATCTGGAAGGAAGCCAGCAGCATAAAGATCAAGTGTGTTTCCTCCCGGCCACTGTGTCCCTATTTGTGTAAGCTCATTGTCTGATAGCCACAAAAGCACTCAAAGCTCTCAGCCCACAAAACCACAGAAACGAAATTAAAGATTCTTCATCTGCTCAAATCCTCCAGATCAGGCTCACATTTGAACCCTCCACTCTCTTCATGCCTCCCCACCCCTTTTACCCTCCTAACTGCTCTCACACAGGAGACACAGCTTAGGGTAGTCCACTTGGAAATTTATTTTATTTGGAGAGCGTGGCAAAGGGATGGATGGAAAACTGGCCTCCCTTGATTTATTTTAGAATGTCTGGCTGAACTTTATTAGGTGCCTGAGAAGCTGCAGATACAGACTCCCTACTCCTCCCCTCAGACAGAAGACGCTTCACTCCTCCCACCGTCCTTGACTTTTTTCTCTGTTGTTTTAAGCTCTATCACTTCTTTTGGACTTTAGGAGAGAGCCACATGTGGTATTATTCAAAATATGAGAACGCACTGAGTTTGCACAACAGGGTATTTTGTAGTTTTAGTAACTCCTTACATTTGATCTGACCTTTAGAGTGCACTCAAGAACTGCCACCGCTTTCAGAGCAAATCCTCTCCTCTCCAGTGCACTTCCCACACGCTCCTTTATTAACTGCTTATTTGATACTGAGACATGCATTACCACTGCCAGCACCCCAGGGAAACCACACAACTCCTGAGCAAAGCAGGTAGGAACCTCTGGAGGCCCTGGTGCTCGTGACCAAAGCACAGTTCCCAGGTAGAGCAAGGACAACTGCTAACTACAACACGCAAGCCAGATAAGATGTACCTTGCAAAATCCATCTCGTGCATGGACAGCCCTCAACTTACAGTTCATTAAATGTTTCAGCTGCTCTCTTGCCAGAAATAATCACAGAATGGTTTGGTCAGGAAGGGACCTTAAAGCTCATCCAGTTCCAACGCCCTGCCACGGGCAGGGACACCTTCCACTAGACGAGGTTGCCCCAGGGCCTGTCCAACATGGCAAAGACAGACAAAATGAACAAAATCACTGGTAATGCTTGTCCAGCAAGCACCAAAATGAACAAACCAAAGCCCAGCTTCATATGAATTACTTTGGCAGCAGCGATTCATCCAACAGAGTAACACCGAACAAGTCACAGGATGATGCTTAACACATATGCACAGCAGGGAATGTCTTTTTTCACACTATGCAAGGGAATTTCTTAAGAAAAAGCACTTATTTAAGAGAAAGAATGGCAACAGCCACCAGCCAATAGTGTTAACAGATACGGTGTTATTCACATTAATAAACCACAGCTTAGAGGTAGGCAGTGGGAAACACAAAGCAGCTGCCGCACAGGAGACTCTCACTCACCTGAGTTTTGTTTAGAGCTGGAGGAGCCCCCTTGTTCTACCTTGGCTTTCTTCTTCTTGGAGGCAGAGGAGTCCGAGGACAGCACTGGGCGCTTCTCTACGGCCGGCGTGGAGAGGGCTCGCTTTTTGAACAGCTCCCGCTCCCTCAGCAGGCTGGGATCCATGGCTCTGCCACGGGAAAAAGGCGAGACACGTGTCTGGGTCAACACGGTATTTAAGAGTGGAGGTACCTGTTTATCGCGGAACACGCCGACTTGAAAAAGACGTGTAAGGGTCGAGTACAACTTAGCCCTGCACAGGGCACTGCAAGAACCCCACCCCGTGCCTGAGAGCGTTGTCCAAGCGCTCCCTGAACTCCGCCAGGCTCGGTGCCGTGACCGCGTCCATGGGGACCCCACGGAGCTGTTTATTTCTCGTTCGCGTCCCGCTTCCCCCGCGAGCGAACTTAAAGCGCGAGGGTTAAGGTGTCAAGAGCACCACCCGGACCCCAGGGGGAGAATGGGACGGCCGAGCTCGCCCACAGGGGTGGGAGAGGCGGGCACCGGCACCCACCGCCCGTGTCACCGGCGCTGGGGGGGAACGGCGCAGGGGACAATGTGGCAGCGGGGCCGGAAACCACCGGCCCGAGGGGCGCCCGGCTGCCCCGACAGCGGCGGGCAAGGGGCCGGGGAAGCCGCCCCCATGTCCACCCCCCCAATCCTCTCCCGGTCTCAATCCCTGTCCCCGTCCCCGCTCCCGTCCCGGTCCCCTCCGCGCGACCCCCGCGCGCCGCCCCTCACCCGCGCGCCGCCACAGCCGCCGCCGCCTAGCGGGCCATGCCGCTCCCGGCAGCCCCCGCGCGCGCCGCCCCGGAAAGGGGCGGGCCGTCACCATGGCAACGCGGCCCCGCCCGCCCTTAACCCCCTCGCCCCCCATCACACTAACAAAGTTGTTTATTTGTGTAGATATGTACTTTTTAATTTAATATCGCATTTCACACAGTGAAAAAAGCATAAAGGAGGGGAAAGAGGAAAAGAGTAGAACAGGAGCACTTAAGACCCCCTAGAAGGAGGCAGGAGGCCCTGTTGATAATGCTCATGATAAAAAGAAATCATCTTCATTTTGGCATTCAGCTGAAAATCCCTTTTCTGCTTTCTGTTTTGCATTTCTTGGTCTGGGTTACAGGTAGAACTGTTGCTGCTGAGGTCCCAAACCATTCCGGCACCTTCCTCTTGGGAGGAAGATGAGAATTCTGGAAGGAAATAAATAAACAGGGAAGGAAACACACATTAAGATGCTGTCTCAGTTACACAGCTCTACTCCTCAGCTTCATGCTCATCTGGAGACAAGAGCCTGTTTAAATTGTTCCTGGAAGACTTATGTCTCATTTAAGTCCAACACCTCATTCAAGTAACTGAGGGATTAAGAACCAAACTCTAAAAGTGGGGAGAAACAAGGCTGGAAATCATCTGCACTCACAGCAATATCCAGCTTCCAAGTGAAGCAAGTAGTAGAGCAAGTGGTGCTGGTCAGAGACACAAGCTCCTTTTTTAATGAAACCACTAATGCCTGCTCCTACAACTTGTTTTTCTATAGCGATCAGCATAGTCTCAAACCCTGTACCTAGTGTTGGAAGCATCTGCTGTGAGACAGATGATGAGATGTAGGTGTACTAAGGGGAAAAAACAGGTTCCTGGAGCAGGGTGTTGATGTCTAAGTGGGATATTCAGGCACAGCCAGGGCAATAAAAGCAAAATGGCACCACTGCATCAAGGAGATCAATGAGAGAAGGGGCTGGCTAGAGAATCGGTCAGCTGGGAATTGGGTCTGTTGAAGATCCACACGCAAATCAACAGGGCTGGGCTGTGCAGGCAGTCTCACCTTGGGCTGAGAGTCAGCAAACAGTTCATCCTCCTCAGGGTCGAGGGCAGGCTGGTTAGAGGAGGTCTCAGTGATGGGTTTCGGGGGGCCTGCTGCCCCTCTGCTCGCTGTCCAGCTGCCATCCACACTCCCCACAGCCTTGCCAAGGGACAGAAAGGAAGGAATTGTGTCACTCGTGTTCAACTGTGTTTTTACAGCAGAAGTGTCAGTTAACAACAGCACAGTGGGGAGAGATGTTAACATTTTTTTTTTACATGATCCTGCCTGGTCACAGGTTGGAACAGCCACCCCAAGATTTCTGGATCAGGTACACATCCCTGTGTTACCAAAATCCACACTTATGGCAAGTCTACCACATGCTTTATTAGAGTAAGAACATCTGTTTACTGAAGCCAAAGGCACCATGTGCAGATGGGTTTTCTCTGCTCCTTCCTTGGCTGCTGGATTGATCCAATTACCCTGTAAAAGCAGCCACAGTGTCAGGCTGTTCAAATCCAACAACATCCATTAACAGATTTAAAAGCTGCTTGCTATAGGGAATTATTAGAACCAGGATATTTTCTGAAGAAGTAAATAAAGACTGTTTGGATTAGCTTCTGGATTTGCAGTCTACTCCTTTGTAGAATATTAATTTAATTACTAATGGCATGTTGTTCCTGTTATTAGCTCCAGGAGCTAACAGGAGCAGGAAAAATTGTGATTACAGCTCAGGCAATTGGAGTGCCAGGAGGTCAGCTGCAGGAAAGAAAAAGGCTCAGACACAGATATCGTAGAAAGAAAATAGCACTAAGGCATGCAAGAAAAATCAATTTGGCAAAATAGCAAGGCTTGGAAACTTGTTTGAGCCAGTCAGCCCAACAATGTGTAAGGAACAGGAATGAACTCCGAGCACAAGTAGCGGGATTCACAGTGTGTCTTTTTTTTTTTTACCATTCCCACCAGCAGCCACTCAGTGCAGGGTGCCATTTGTACAAGTTGCTGAAGTGGGACTTGGGGGACATGAAGGTCAATGGAGAGCTCAAACTGTCCTGGACTTGCTCATACAGCAAAGAGCTCCTTATTTCCCAAGATTTGTCCCCAGGGAGTCAGGCTAATGGCATGACACTTGTTATCAGGGTTATGCTCAGCAGTTCTAAGCAACAGAGGAATCCAAAGACTCAGACCACTGGCTGGCCTTGCCTTTTGCTTTTTCATCCTCAATTGCCCTGCTTTCTGCATAGTAGAATCTTTTTTCCCACCT